AGTGCTGGGATTACAGGCGTGAGCACCGCACCCAGCCCCCTCACCTTTCTATGACAAGTGAAAATATTCACATACACACACACACACACACACACACACACACACACACACACCTCCCTTTAAAGATAAGTGAAACCAGGCTCAAGGAGGCTAACTAACCTGTCTCTACTTACACAGCATATAAAGAGAAGAGTTAGAACTAAAAACCAGGTCTGCTGTGCTCCGAAGTCAGTACTCTTTCCACTACACTAAGCTGACAGATGGCACTGACTGGAAGACTCCAGGCACTGCCCCCAGAAATGTCTATCTGTTCATCATGGGACACATTCCTCTACCATGATCTTCCACTGAGTGCCCTAATACGGAGATTACAAATAACAAGAATAGTGTCAACTGATTGTCCTCCTTTGATGGCAGGTAACGAACCTGAAAATATACATTATTTTCCTCGGGCCTTCCATCAAATTCCACTTCTGGAATGGGCACCATTTGACAAGCTGTATGTGCAGTGACACAACCCAATACAAATAAAATGGAAAAAAACAACTTTATTTTTCACTACTTGCATCCCTTATTTGAATTGTGAATACTCTAGTTACATTTCATAAATAGCCTGCCTAGAAACTCATTTTGTGATGAAATATGCCCCTGTGTGACTTGTATTTGAAACCGTCTGGCTTGGTTTCAACAGCTTGAGTTAAAGAACTAGGGTGATAGGCTTGTGAAGAACTCTAAAGGGCCTCTTAACTTTCTTTATGCCACTCTTTCCCACAATAGATGACCCAAATTGTCAGGTATTCTTTTTTCAGGAATTAAAATATCTGCCCCTGGAGTCATCTAAGTCTCAATAAGAGGGGGGAAAAAACACTTCTATTTTGTAATATCAGGTAATAATATGGGAAATACACTTATATAAAATAACAAAATAGGACATGAAATTGTATGAAGAGTATGATGTCAACCACATATTATCCTGGAAGGCCAGTTTAAGGATGTAACTTCAGTTGTTAATAGTAGTTATTTTTGTTTGTCCTTTCTAATTTCAGCAATAAGCACATACAGCTTTTAAAAAGTTAAATAAATGTAAAAAATAAAAGATAATATTTTCCAGAAATAGTCCTAAATATTACTCAGGGTTTCATCCCTACCAAAAATCATTATATGAGGACATAATATTAACTGATAAAAATAATTACATGAGAATATAATATTAACTAATACCAGACACAACGGTTGTCCCAGAAAAGAAGTTACACACCAATCTTGCTGATAAATATAGATACAAAAACCATTCCTTAACCTAACAAATCTTGCTGGTAAATATAGATACAAAAAAACATTCCTTAACCTAACAAATCAAATCCACCAGGGTGTAGAAAATAAAAGCATTACGACCAAGTAAGATTTACCCCAGAAATGAAGATTTAAAAATCTATCAGTTAAATCCACAACAGTATAAATTATAAGAGGAAAAATATGTATAATCATTGAAATAAATACAGAAAAAGCATATGATAAAATTCAGCATGCAAATTTAGAATTTAAAAATACTTCCTAGAAAATAATACATAAAGGGGAACTAATAAATATGTTTTATTTTGTTTTGTTTTGTTTTGAGACATCGTCTGGCTCTATTGCCCAGGCTGGAGTACAGTGGTGCGATTGTGTCCCACTGCAAGCTGCCCTTCACGGGCTCAAGCCATCCTCCCAATTTAGCCTCCTAGGTAGCTGGGACTACAGGCATGTACCACCATGCTTGGCCATTCTTTGCATTTTTTTTTTTTTGTAGAGACAGGGTTTCATCATGTTGCCCAGGCTGGTCTCAAACTCATAAGCTCAAGCGATCTATCCACCTTAGCCTCCCAAAGTGCTTGAGCTATAGGCATTGGCCCACATTCCTGCCAGAAAACTATCTTAGTAAAAAATTAAGCATCACTTAAATGTAATCTAGAAGCAAATCAGGAAACAAGATAAGGACATTTACTATCACTAAATATTATAATGACAGATCCAGGCACATTGGGAGGAGAAAAAGAATAAGTACTTAAGGATAGATGAGGCAAATTTAGCGGTATACGCTGGTCTCCATTAGGAAAATCCAAGCATAAGTTTGGCGAAAGTAGTAGTAATAAAGAGCATACAACATGGTTATATTCAAGATTCAGTATCAGTATATAACTGTTTATTCCTTTTAAAGTTGTATTAATTTGTCAATGTAGGCAACATTTGTTTAATGAAATACTAGTAATCATCAAAACTGAAGAACAAGAAATGAATTAATGCTTACCAGTACATTTCTCTCTCTCTCTTTTTTTTTTTTTTTTTTTTTTGGAGCTGAGCCTACCTCGGGTCACCCAGGCTGGAGGGGAATGAAGCCATCTTGGCCACCGGTAACCTTGCCTCCCAGGTTCAAGCGATTCTGCCTGCTCAGCCTCCCAAAGTAGCTGGATTACACATTGTGAGGGACATGGTGAGAAGATGACCATCTACAAGCCAGGAAGAGAGCCCTCACCAGGAACCAAACTGGCTGGCACTTTGATCTTAGACTTTCTAGCCTCCAGATCTGTGAGAAACATGTTTCTGTGGTTTTAGCTGCCAAGTCTATGGTATTTTCTTATGGCAACTCAAGCTAATTAAGACAAGATGAATGACGAAGGAAGAGAAAAAGAGAAAAGAGGGGAGAGGAGGGAAATTGAGAAAGATGACAGGGAAGGGAGGAGAAGAGAAGGAGAAAAGGAAAAGGGAGGAAAAAGAGGAAGAAGATCACAGCTAACCTTTGTTGAGCATTTAATATATGGCAAGTAATATATTAAGTATTTTATTTGCCTTATTTTCATTAATCTTCATAGTGAGCCTTTGAAGTCAGTAATATTACACACCCATTTTATAGGAGAGGAAAATGAGGCTCAGGTTAAATACTTTCAAAGGTCACACAGTGAGAAAGTGGTAAAGCCAGAATTTGAATCCAGCTCTGCCTACCCAAATTCCATGGTATTAGCCACTCCCTGGAGGACACTCCTCACATACGTATTATGTTGATTTCAGAGTTTTTTTAGGACATGAAGATGAGGAGGTTCTAAAAGGGACACCTTCACGCTGTTATCCCAAATCCCCAACTGAGCCAATGTCCTGAAAACCTGAATCCTCTCTGCAGAATGCTTCTGGTTTTGCATGTTAAAATTAAGAATGAAAAAATATGCACTAAGATAACATTTTTAATGCATTAAGCATTCAAGAGTGCAGGTTTGGTGGAAAGGTTAAATCTAAGGCAAAAATATAACTTGTCAGTTTCCACTGAAAAAGCATTTAAATTCTAGTACATACTGGGCTCTGCGACCTCTTTTTTTTTTTTTTCCCCCCACATAGCAGTCTCCCAAGACATGTTCTTTCACCCACTTACTTTCTTTCTATTATTCTTAGACCATGATGCATAGAAAACAGGTTTACATTAATTTTTAGGGAACGAAATAGACTGCCTCCAAAATATTTGTGTTTCAAATAAACATCAAAAGCAAAATTTATAGTCCTTCCTGGGCTTCTGGCTGTCCAAGAGCTGCATATGTATTACAGTTATGTCCCCTACTTCATACAGAGTGCCAGACAAATGCCATCACAAAACATAACTGGACAGGCACAGTGATGTCTCAAACAAATCACCGTCTATACAAAGAAGTCAAGGGCATCCTGGTTTGCAAGCCCACATTGACAGATTTCAAGACCTGAAAGAGAGCTCTGTCAATCCCCTCCCATGCAGCTGAGAAAACAAGGGAGAGACAGCAGAAACTACAGGGAGAAAACACACACACACAGAGAAAGAAGTTGCTCATATTTAATTGGCAGGGGGTGAAGCTTACTGAAAAACATGGTCCTAAAGCCATGGGGCTAAATTCTCCAGAAAACATGAAAAGTGATAGAATTACTTTATTATCACACTATGCCTGCAAATCTTCATTGCCAGATATCTCTGGCTGCTCTCTGCCAAGCACTTCCTAAATGCTGAGACTTAAAATGTGAACAAAACATCTAGCTCCAAAGGAGTTTATGCAGGACATTTTTAATAAAGTGAAACACTAACCAAGTACTAATGAAACAAAACAAATAAAAACATTTATATCAATTTTGGGAGTAAGAAAAGGCTCCCCCAGGAGGCTTCCCTAAACTCAAACCTAGTGAATAAGCAGGAGTCAGTTCAGAGAAACAACAACAACAACAACAACAACAACGAAGGGCAACAAAAAAGGATTTCAGGCTGGATTAAGAGTCCAGTGGTTCTTAAAGTAGGGTCTCTGGACCAGCAGGACTGGCATCACCTAGGAAGCTGTTTTAAAAGGAAAGTCTTGCGTCCTACACTAGACTTACCGAATCTGACACTTTGGGATGAGACTCAGAAATGAAGGCTTTAAACAAGCCCTCCCAGTGATTCTGGTTCAGCCAGAGTTTGACAACCACTGGTACAGGTAAAGATGAACTACAGGATGTCTGGAGGGTAAACAGGGATGGGGAAGTGGGGAGGTTAGGCAGAGATGTTGCTGGAGGGATGGATAGAAGGCATATGCAGAAAAACTTTGTATATTATGAGAAAAGGTTTGGATTTTGTTTGGAGAGTAATGAAGAGCCATTACATTTTTATATTATATACATTATTATATTATGAATACAAATGAAGAGCCATTACATTATTATATTATGAATACGAAACACACAAAATAACTATTTAAAAAAATACATGTGACCATAAAGATACTTATTTATATCATTCCAGAGATTATATCATTCCAGAGATTTAAAAACTCATTCCTGTGCAGAAAAGTTTTGGATTTTATCTGGAGAATAATGATGGACCATTACATTATTATATTATGAATACAAAACACACAAAATGACTATTTAAAAATATTTGCAATCATAAAGATATTTCTTTCTATCATTCCAGATATTTAAAAACTCATTCCTGTGCAGAAGAGTAGCCATTAAAAAAAGAAGGTCAAATTCAGCCCTACCTTTCTTTCTGGAGTCTTTCTTGGCGCTGGTTTTCACAGCTACTTGAAGTTCTGTCTCAGTTGACATCCTACTTAATCCTTAGTCCACTTCACACAGATCCCGGGCCTTGGCCAGGCTCATTGAGGACTCTTCTCCAAGAGAAAGACTCCTCCCTTCAGAAATGACACTCTGAGCTGCACATTTCATTCACTCTTCTTGAGTGCTGCAAATCAAGGCAAGAGAACATTCAGAATCATCACTGTTACGAAGTTAAACAGACATTTTTAAAAAGTGAATTGGCAAACATATACAAACAAAATCTTGGTCTTCGTGCAAAAACTGCTCCCATGGTTTCATGAAGGCATTGATAGGGTTTATACAGCAAAGGGAATGAGAGGCTTATAGCGGCAAAACTGCTTCTCAAACTAGGTAACTCAAAATAGATCTTGAAAAGTCTAGATTTATAAGAGGGACAAAACCCAACCCTGTTTTCTGTGTTTCTTATTTTCAAGCATCAGATCCCAACCAGAACATACAGCAAAGGTACAGCCAGCCCCACGGAGATATTTCCAACAAGAGAGCACCCGTCTATCAGCCAAGCTTGATCAGCGCCTTGGCAGCAAAAGCAGATCATATGGAAGTGACCTGTGGTCTGTCCCTCACTGGCAGGCATCAGAGGGGGCATAGAGTTGACATACAACTGGACTCCAAGGGTAAGGTGACAAATGGGGCCGAGAAACTTTCCAGCAAGCCAATTTTATGTCAACTTTTCCTCCAGCTATAAGAGCAGACAAGCATTTAATGTGCAGAGAAAAAGAAAAGAAACAGGCAGACACAGATTTCATTCATTCATTCTCTAATAAATATGCATTGAACAATACCAGGTGCTATTAAACTCAAACACTGTGCTAGGAAGAGAATAATGATAATAAAGATAATACAACCACTTCACTTACAGGTAATAGTTACTATATACTATGCCCTTAGCTACTGCTTCACATATAGTATCTCACTTGGTCTCATTCAAATTAAACAAATATACAGTATTCTCTTTGATAATAGTCTTTTCCTGTGACTATCTGATAGTTACATGAGAGTTCTATTAAAAAGTAAACATTTCACCAATTTCCACTTTTGAAAAGTATTAAGAAAAAGCTATTAGAAATGGATCTTCGAATTGTGCAGCCAATTCTTAGTTCATCCCACAGATCTAGAACGGTTTAATAGAAAACGACTGACCTCGAATGCCAGTTTCAGTTCAAAAAGAATAATGACCCAAACCTGTTAATCATGACAATCTAGTTAATCTTAACCAGAGAGTCTAATATAAAAGCCATGTAAAATTATAGTAAAGCTTGAATATGAGGAAATTCCCACCTTAATCCAAAGATATCTGTTTTGTTTTATTTATATATAAGCTAACTATTTTTTAAAAAGGAAATGGCCCAAATGAAAGTACTTGATCTAGTGAATCTAAGGCTACAACTAAGAAAAACAGAAAGTTATCTTTGTAAAACAGGGTCCATGAAACCGTACACAGAAAATGAGAATTTATCCTGCCACTTTTATACCATCTATCTATACCTTGCCACCAGCCCCCACACCGTTTCCAGCCCCTTGTCTCTAAGACAATGTTCAATGGAAGATGACAGAGTCACAAAATTTGGTCATGTATAAACATAATCAAATTTATTAATAATATTTACCATTTCATTGCAGCAAGTATTTACTAAGAATCTACTATGGGCCAGGTACAAATGCTAGCTCATTCATGTTAACAGATATTTACCAAGTAACCATGCTGGCCAAGAGTACATAGTCAAAGGCTGGTTCCTATTCTCAAAGAAGCTCAATCTAACAGGGGTATCAGTCATGTAAGGGACGGCAACACATATATGTGACCAAAACTAAAACAGGCATATAAATACCAGGCATACGGGGCAGAAAGATGCAAGTATTCATCTTTGCTTGGAAGGGTCAATAAAGCTTCAGAGGATAAGCCCTACTCTGTGAGATGTTGAAGAGCAATGTTTCTGTCAAAAGGACAATAAGGGAAAGGACCAACAGCTTCTCAATAATTATATGTAGAATGAATGAATGAATGAATGAATGGTTGTTTCAGGCAGAAAGATCAGCATGTATAAAAGCAAGGAGGAGTGAAATCAACAACCAAACAAGTAAAAGGAGGCACAAGTCTAGCAGGGAAGTGATGTACTTCCCCATCTTCCCAGTTTTTCCTTGTGCTGCTATCTTTCTATGGAATCTCTTGTCTCAAGTCTGCCTTGACATTCTATTGACTCCTCAAGGTTCAGTTCGAAGAGACATCACAGGCAGAAAGATGTTTTGATCTCTGTAGCAAAACAGACTCTCTCCCAACTTATTTTATGATTTGATTTTTGGACAACTTCAGTTTCAGCCACTTACAAGCCACATGATTTGAGGAAGTTACTCAACCTGGTCTTTGCCTCAGTTTCTTCATCTGTACACTGGGGATAATAGTGCCCACTGGGGGAGCTGTTGTGGCAATCAAGTATGATCACACACATAATGCTATTGGAAGAGTGTCTGGCATGCCTCCCGGTAAGCATTTAATAAATATTAGGCACATAAATTCCTGTGCCACTTGCTCAAGGCCACGTGGCTGGTATGTGTGACCGAAAGTCTGTATTATCTCCCCTTTACAAAGGAAGAAACTGATTCAAGTTAATTTTGCTGTTTGAGGATGAATTGTAGGAAATGGTACCAGCTGGTCTTGGACACAGTAGATACCTAATCTATAAATTCAGAAAGTAGTTGAAATATATGGATTTTACACATTTTCAAGAATTTTTTAAAATCAGTGTATAAAACTGGATTGGATTTGGGCCATTTTCTCTTCTTCAACCTTCTAAATCACAATATAGCATCTCTCCCTATTTCTGTCTTCAAAGATGCTTGTTCAACAAAATATGATTATGTTCAAGTGTTACAAGCATTACTTGTGAATTTCTGAAGTACATCCCTACATCAATAATGAAAGGAAACCACCATCATTCTGAATAAAAACTTAAATAAGGAAGCTACAGTACTGTGAGAACGTACCACAGTGTGGACCCTGGCATCACCTTTAATTTTCCAAAAGGCAGAGGTTGAGCAAATGCTGTGAAGTAACTCCAAATTATTTAGGAAATTCGCTTCTTTGTAATTAAGGAGATTAAAGTCCTCCAGGGCCAGAAACCATGTGACAACTCAAATCATTTTCCCCAGTAAAAGCTGTGAAACCCTATCAGTTAAATTCAGGCTTGCCTGGAATTTTGAAATGCTTCAATAATATTTCTTTGCTCCACACAATCTGCAGTAATTTAATATTCCTGAAGTGTGTCAGGTTTTTTATAATGAGCTCTTCAAATCTAAATGTGAATTATGTAACATTCCACTACAGACATTCTGTCTAGTGAACTGCTTCTAAAATGTAAAATTTCATGTTTAGCGATGGGGTGGGGGCCAAAAACACCAAACCACAAAGCAGAGAAAACAGATATGCCTTTTTTTTTTAAACAAAGCATGAAGGTTTCAGCAGCTACAACAGAACAAACACACCCTAAACACATACTATAATACACATTTGTGTTCTTTCTTTCCCCCTTTTCTCATATAATCCTACAATAAAACAGCTATTACTTATTGAGGGTCCACTATTTACCAAGTACTATGCTATAAGTTTTTCTGGCATTATTTGATGCAATTCATTCAACTATTTGAAGAGTCCAATATAATTATCTACATTAAACAAATGAGGAAACTGAGGCACAAGCCAGCTTAGGAGCTTGTCCAAAGTCACATAGCTAGTAAATAGTACAGCACAGGGCAAGTTACAAGACGCTCATCTCTCCAACTTCCCTCAAAGCCCTCCCAGATTTCCATCAGTGGGTGAATGGAAAAACAAAATATTTGTACCATGGACTATTGCTCAATGTATGAAGGAAATATAGCACTGATACACAGTGCAATGTGGATGAACCCTGAAAACAGCAAGCCAAGTAAGTTAGACAAAATATGTTGCATATCGTATGACTTCACTTATATGCAATATTCAAAATAGACAAATCCTTGGAGACAGAATGCAGATCAGTGGTTGCCAGGGGCTATGGGAGGGGCAGTAAGGCTGAGGAACTGCTTAATGGGTATGGGGTCTTCTTTGGGAGTGATGAAAATATTCTGGAACCAGACGGAGGCGAAGTTGCGCAACATCGTGACTACAATAAATACGACTTTAAAATGGTTAATTTTTTGTCATGTGAATTTCACCCAAATTAGAAAAACAAAACAAAACCCCTCCCAACCTGATATGAGCCTTGTGTGATAACACTAAGGCCACTGGAAATTCCAGTTTAAAAAATAACGTAGTGCTAAAAAACAGATGAGAATGTAGTTTTCCCAAAACCAAGACTTTGAGTTTGTGTGGCAGTAACTGCATGCATTAAAACTCTATGTCACTATTGGCATGTTTTGTGATTTGATGTCTTACTTAGCTTCATCCAAGGTATAAAGCATAGAAAACGGGACATTTATCAACAAGGCCCAAAGGTTTATAACAGTACAGACAAGGAGCCTCAGTTTCCTCATCAGTAAAATGGGAACACCACCACCAAGTATGTGAGATTTAGAAGATAAATGAGATTTGGGCATTAAAAAGCCTAGCTCAGTCTATAGCATGCTACCTTTATCTTTACAAAAAGATACACAGGATAAACAAACCAGATAACATGCAAGTTGTTTTTCATCACTTAGTGGTGATGTGACTGGGTGTCAGGGTAAAAGGGATATGGCAGAGGGTGATACTTCTCAGGATACAGCTTTTTGCATAATTCCCACATTTGGAAGCATATTAATGTTCTACATATCTGAAAAAAAAATAATAGGGAAGGTAAGGGTGAGCGTAAAACTAAAAGTAGACGGAAGCAAATCAATTCAATTGTATGTTAAACAGACATCGTAAGCACACTTGCTAAAGAGGTGGAGGAGAAAAAACTATCAAATAACATAAACACAGAATTGGATGGCACACACCCAGTCTTGGGTAGAGTTGAAGCAAGAGCAGCAGCAAACAAATTCTGAAGTCTTTTTAGTAGGCTTGTTTTCTGTAGTGTTATGAGCAAAGCAGAAGAAACTATTTTCGATGTTCTATAGAATGGAGCAAAGGAATAAATGCACAGATATTGTTGGGAGCCAAGCTTCTCCTAT